TGCGCACGTTTGTTGTTGTCCCGCTCTCTGTCTCTCTCGCGCACACACACAGGCGCGGCTACTGCTGCTGCTGCGGCTGTTGCCAAAATTTCGGTGAATAGTTTTTTTTTTTTTTTTTTTTTTTTTCATTCTTTTTGTTTGCTTGTGTGTGCTTTCGACTGCCGTCGCCCCTATCCCTGCCCAATGCGCTTTTTTGTGCGCTATCGCTGCCGCTGTTGCTGCTGCTGCTGCTGTTGCTGTTGCTGCTGCTGCTGCTGCTGCGCGCAGTCGACGCTGCCGTCGCTGCCTGCCTGCCTGAGGCACTCGAGCACTCTCTTCTTCTTTAGCATGAATTCAGTTGAGTTTCTACGCTTGCAATCATCAAACGCAACAAAAAGCCCAACACGCTGGTTGGCCGCCGACTGCTGCTTTCCCAGCGTTCCCGTTCTCAGCGTCTCAGTTCACTGGAAGTGAGCTTCCAGCAGCACAAGACAATTCCAAGTGATCCTGCAAGCGTCGCTAGCGCAATGCAGCTCAGCCTCCACCTCGGCTCCAATACATGCATACATATGCCTAGATACAATACATGCAACCGCTTATATGTGTAGACTACATACACACATACATATGTAGCTAAATAGTTTTTAGTGCGTGTTCGGTCGGTCGTTCGGTTCGGTTCGGTTCGGTAATTAATAAGTGTGTGTTTTTTTACTCTTTTTTTTACATTTTATTTTTACTTGATTGTTTCGTTCAGTGCCAATGTTATTTGCATTTAACGTATAAGCCAAGATCTCAAGTCAGCAGCGAATAGCATTTCTTAAATTACCATATTACGTATACGCAAACAAATTTCTACCTCAACTCAAACCAAGCCAAAGCAAATACAAAAATAAAATAAATAATACATAAAAAGAAAGAAAGAAAAAAAAAATAAACAGAATCTAATACCAATACAAAAACAAAAAACAACAACAAAATGTTTGCTGTGCGACATTCACCTACAACAAATTGCACACATAATAATAATCTATTTCGGTTGGCATTCGCAACACTAATGAACTATTAGAGACATACATACGTGCATACATACGTACACACATTCGTGCATAGCTTGTTAGTAGGATGCCAGTGGCTGCGCACCCAGTCGGAAGGTATGTACTCCAAACGATGCAGCTTTTGCATTTCATGTAGCACAGAGTGGAGGGGGAGAGCGCGACCGCAGATATCTACCCACATCTACACACTCACACAGTAACTGGGGTCGCTGCTATGGTCTATTTTTAGCATAGCTAAAAAGTGCAGCGCACACACTCGCAGGCACGCCTTGACTTATTATCTGATAGTTTTCACTTTCAATGTCACACACTCACACACATATGTGTATGTGTGTGTGTGTGCATGGGCAAGCTTTTGTGCGCGGCTGTGTGCTCGCTTTGCTTTGCATTGCTCTTCTATCGCACTGAACATACACATATGTATGTATATGTATATGCATGTATGTGTGCACATGCCTAGCGAGAGAAAGATCGAGCGAGTGAGCGGGCGAGCGAGCAAGAAGGAGAAGCATAACTATCCTTTGCTAATTGAGACAAAGACAATGACGAACGCAAAGAGAAAAAGAAACAGATCAAGCAGCAGAAGCCCGAAAAAACGAAATGCGAAATGCGAAGTGCGAAACACAAAAAGCGAAAAGCACATCGAAATTTGTGCACTACAAGTGTTTTAGTTATTTGCGATGCGTTTGCTAAATTTTTACCGCTTGGGTGCTTTTTCGTTGTTGTTGTTGCCGATGCCGTTGCCGTTGCTGTTATTATTGTTATTGTTGTTGTTTCTCTTGCAGTCGTTATGAGTGAAAAGAAAACATACAAAATTAAATTGTACTCGTTTTAATTGTTTTTGTCTCTTTCGCTGCTGTCGCGTCTTCTTCATTTGCTTGGTTAGTTTTTTATGGACTGTTCTTTGATTTGGTTTTTTATTTTGCTTCATTTTTGTTTCTATGTCACACAAATTGTCGCCGTGGTTTGGATAAATTTTTAAACTGCATTTGTTAACAATTTTCGAACATTTTTGCAAAATGTTGCATTTGTTGCACTTTGCCGCAGCGTAAAATATAAAACAAGCAGCAAAAAAGCTTACCCCATCTCTCACTCTCTCTCTCTCTCTCTCTCTCTCTCTCTCGCGCACGATTGCCGGCAAATGCGAGTGCGGCTGTGTGCGTGCGAGTGTGAGGGAAAGACAAAATCAACGAATGCGCAAAAATACAGTTTTGGCTATCAAAACAAGTCAAACGAGTTGTATATAGAATAATATAATTAACTTATACTTTTGACACTAAAATTTATGCGATTTAATCACAATTATAATGCTTAGACAATGTAAATATAAATTGTCGATTCGAATAATGAAAAACAAATTCAGGAAAAATAAACAGAAATTCATAAAAATCCGAAAAAA